GAGATAGAGATCTGCGGTTTTCACTGTTGAATAGCCAAGGCCTTAAGACATGTTTTCATAAGCAGAAACGTGTTTCAAAATTTTCTGTAAGTCCGATTTCTCAAAGGATCTTTGAAAAACCAGCCATATTTGTTTTTATGCAGAAATGAAAATTACTTCACCGGAGGCCTTTTTGTGAGAAACCGGTTTTTCGCCTATAACTGGCAAAAGTTAAAATCCTTATATCTCGCTCAGATCTCATACTGACTCAAGGAAATTTTCATGAAAGACTTAAACGGCACCATATATTGTTTATTAAGCTGAAAAAGTGAACCAGCAGAACACTGAGGCTTTCTGAAAAACCATAAACTAATGCCCAGCTGAAATTGACTTTTTTCTTCTTCAATTATGATTTATGAGCTGTTCTGAGCGTTTCCTGAAAGTTTCCTTGAATGAGTATGAGATCTGAGCGAGACATAAGATTTTAACTTTTCAGGACATAAGTCTCGATTCTTTTTCATATCTTTACTAACTGACCCCACCTGTCTAGATATTCTAACTAGTTCACTTTGTAGAGAATTTCAAGGAATATCCAATGGTATGTCTTTGAAAAATAAATAATTTTTCATTTTGGCAGAAAAATGACCAAAGCAGTGTTTAAAGCACTAAAATAGATAAAAATCATTATATCGGCCAAATACTTCGACTATTGATCCATGTGGGCATACGTCTGACAGACTTATTTATAGCTCTTTTGTAACCTTTGATACTTTTAAATCGTAATTTTATTCCCACAAGCTATGTTTGTCTAAACGTTTCGATGCTTTGGATCTTCATCAGTAGGCACGATAAATTAAAAAGAATAAAAATTTTTAAAAAATATCAAACACAAAGAAAGAACCTTATCTAGAAAGTAGAACATAAACTATAATTCTTATAACACGTAAAAAATTAGGCTAAAACTCATGATAGAAGCCATCATTTTTTTTTTGATCACTTTTCCACCAGTTTTAACCTAATTTTTTACGTATTATAAGAATTATAGTTTATATTCTACTTTCTAGATAAGATTCTTTTTCGTGACTGATATTTTTTAAAAATTTTTTATTCTTTTTTAATTTATCGTGTCTACTGATGAAGATCCAAAGCATCGACACGTTTAGACAAACATAATTTGTGGGAATAAAATTACGATTTAAAAGTATCAAAGGTTACAAAATGCCACATAATCGTACTAATAGCTTATATCTATTTATAGCTAGCTCATTTTGAAGGCCGTGGAATTCTCTATCGAATGACATATAAAGCAGGGTGGTTAATGACAAAATCAATGGATATTATAAACATGAACGACGTTGACTTATCAGTTTGCTGTGATGCTACCAAGTATTTTGAATCTGAGAGTAGTGCCAGTTACTTTTTTTTCTGAATATTTTATATATCATTTTGGAAAAATCACTTGTTTTACTTTATCATTTTCATAGTTTAATATTTCGCTTTTTCTATCTGGATAGAATATTTCAATCAAATTATTGTCAATATCATATTCAGAAATATAACCATCCCTTATTTTAAATATTTGTTTTCTATTCTCATTTGAATATCTTTAACATCACCATTTGTATCCTGTTTGTGTGCAAAATATTTGTTCCAATATCATAAAAACTTTTTCCTATAATTATATTATTATTTAATATTAAACTTTTATTATTAATATCATTGTCGTTTTGAATCCAATTAAACTTTATATTATCAATTTCATCAGGACAAGGATTTTTTAGAGACCAGAATTAGGGTTGAAAAAAGTACGGTTACCTATTTATGGTCAAATTTGGACAGATTAGAGAACGATCAGAATTATGAAACGAAAAAACCGAAAAGAGAACGCAATTAGTGCTGAAAAGAGAACGATTCAGAATTCTGAGTTCAAAAGAGTATAAAGAGAACGGTCATACGTTCGAATAGTGAACTATTATCTATATATACCTTGAAGGTATATATAGATAATACCTTGAAGTGCAAATGCAAGGTATTACCTTGCATTACCTGTAAAAAAATATTATATAAAAATATGCAAATAGATATGATATTTCAAAAAAGTAGAGCAAGACTAGATTTTTTTGGTCTACCACGTTTTTATGGCCCTAAAGGCATACGATCGTCTTCATTGCTCTTTTGTTTAGCTTGCAGCTGAATATCACATGATGGAAATTTCTTGTATGAAGTACATCGATATGTATATTTGTTACCATTGGTACTTGATTCACTTTGAAATCTAGATACTTCATTTTCTGATATTAATTCACTAACTTCAGTTCCCGTATTACAAATTCGCAGTGGTAGCCATTGTCTGTGCATCATTTTGTTTAGAATATGGTTCCATATCACCGGAAAAAAAATAAAGTTGGTTTAGAGTTGCTGAAAAGTGGTTTTTCGTATTCAGCACACTCGATAACCCAGAAGATTTTCTGTTTTTGGCCCGAGGTACTTCCGAAAGTTTAAGAAAAGTTTTCAAATTAATATTATTTTTCCATGGAAAACTTTTTGCGCCATTTTGTTTCAAAATCTTTCTTAAACTTTCGGAAGTACCCCGAGCCAAAAATAGAAAATCTTTTGGGTTATCAAGTGTGATGAATACGAAAAATCACTTTTCAGCAACTCTAAACCAACTTTATTTTTTTTGTTCCGGTGATATGTTTTACTGTTTACGTATCGATGTGTAAATATGAAGAAGCGTGCGTATGACAAATTCTACTTTAGAAACTGTACACATACAGTGATAAAATATCTTTCAATATCGTTCTCTTTTCAGTCCCGTTCTCTAAACAGTGTAAACATTTAATAATTCGCACTCCGTTCTCTTTTCATTTCATCATAGACTTTTAATAATTAATTATTTTCATCATAACTATATGTTGAAATTGTATTATTAGATTCTATAATTATTTGAATTTTACAATAATCTATATAGGAAATTTGAGATTCTTTTAATAAATTTTTATGTAAATTATATGCAACACTTTCTAAAATAAAATTAGTCTCATAATCATATTTATATTCAATATAATCACTATTTGGATAACGTATGAAATTTAAATTACCATTTTAATTATAATTATAGATTATTGTATAATTTTGATTTGTTAATGATATCAAATATTAATTTAATTAATCATAGTTGTATATTAATATTTTCATCATTTGAATTAAATAATAAAATTAAAGATATTCTATCACCTTCATTATAAGCGAGTTGAATGTTAAAACCAAACGAATAGTCAATTTAGATTAATTGATTATTTGACTTGTATTTGCATAAAGCGGTACTCTATTGGCTTTGAATTTCGATGAATCATAAGGTTATACTTTCAAATTTACAATTCAAATAGAAAAGTTGATCATATATATCTATCGAAAATTTTGAGGTTAAATTTCCAGTAAACAATTTATTTTCACAATAACGACCGCCGATACTTACTTTTTTACTTTCTAAAATTATTTCTTCTTTATTAGGAAAGAATATTAATATTTCTGAATCAATTTCTATAATTTTGTGTCCAAGATTAAATCAAATCATCCATTACCAAAAATACATCTGGTACGTCGTTTAGTGATTAAAGCGGTGAATAATAGTGAATAATTTCTATTCTAACTACAAACTTATAAAATATTTACCAGTAATAAAATTATTAGCATAGTTTATTTGATACATAAATAGATCACGTATTGAATAAACTTTTTTTCTTCTTATTTGCAAAATATTTTGCTAGTTTAATCATATTTTCATGAAACTTTCTATCGAAAATTGTCTCTCGATTTTTCCATACAATATTCTAAATATTATTATCAATATTCAATGGTTTTGAATTATTTTTAATATTTTCAGTTAAAAAGTCAACTGTTAATAATGAAATAATATTCACTTCTACGTAAGATTGTCCTAAAAACAATGGATTTGGTTTAATTTCAAATTCAAATTATGAATGTGTCTTAGACAACATTATATCTGCTAATGATTTATCAGGTAATGCAATAAACGTGTAGTCGTTTTCATACATATCATGAAAATGTTTAATTAATCTTAAACCAGCGTTTTCACTAGTCGAAACGTATAATATGAGCGGTTTTAAATCTGATTTTTCAATATTTTCTACAATTTTTGAAGGATAGAATAGGGTCTTTATTATATTTCTAATATTTGTTAAAATATATACTTTATCTTCGTAAACTTTTATTTATAATCAACAGTTAGACTTTTCGATTGCAGCATGTAATCTCCTTCAGTTGTTGTTGTTGTTTTATCCATTCAGTCGAGTCCGACTCTTGGCGATCCGATGAATCAGACCTCTCCACGTGTTTCTGTTATGTACCATTGTGTTGAGTTGAGTTAATGTTAACTTTGTGTCTTCTTTTATTGTATCAATCCATCTTTTCTTTTGTCTTCCTCTGCGCCGTTTACCACCGATCATGCCA